TTTTTTCGACGGCATTGAGCAGAGTGGATTAGAAAGTTTCCCATGCAAAAAGTAAGCGGAAAATCAACACGAATTCGAATTTGAGCATGTTTCGAATTGTCATAAAGGATAATATTAAAATAGCAACAAAAAACGAATTGTCAATGATGGCGGATGGACGTTTTTTTGGAGACAACTGATGGTTTATTCGGCTTTGTTTTCTAATTAAATTTCTAATTTTAAACTTTTTGGACTATAGATATATATGACCAAACTAAATTCAGTTTGAAATAAAACCTTCCAAGTTTAAAAAAAAGAGAGCACATATGTTGGGTTTAGAATTTAAACAGTTCGGTTTAAATTTTAAACCCAAACATTTTCCTAATTTAAGAATATAAAAAAAATCTTAAATTTCATGCTCCGTCTGATGGGGATTGAACCCGGACAGCCTTGGTAGCCATGATACAAATATTTAAAGGTGAAACCGCTCGCGCAATTCGTCGGCCATAATTTATTTTTTGGAGTTTGTCTACTTTACAAAATTGAAATTTTCAGTGCAACTCAAATGCCAAACAAAAGTAAAACGAAAAACAAATAGATGAAAATATTCAAATTTTCTTTTATGTGAGACTGAAAGTGCCTCTCAGCCGTTTTACCTTCAAATTTTTGTATCATGCTTGGTAGCAATCAATTGTATCAAGGATCTTTGCACACTCAGCTACAGCCTGCAAAAAATGGGACTAATCCGGGATGACTCCGGGAGCATTCGCAAAGGAGCATGCGACTAATACCACGTTTGATCTCTTTATATGGAATGAACTGATCGCTTTTGTTCGAGCATGTCCTATGAAGAGACTAATTATTCACCTTTATACCCGAACGGGTATGAAAAGCGCCTAGTCACTTTTAAAAAATAAAAATAAAAATTTGCAGCAGCTGAGATTCGAACCGCCGTGATCAGTTGTGTTAGGCGAATACTCTCTCTGCGTGCCAACGCCGCACATGAAATTTCACTGAATAAGTGCGTACATATCATTAAATTGTTAATACTACCCGTTAGAGATGAGTTGGGGACTAATTGATCTCCAATTATACCCATAAGTAATGTGACCAACCGTACTTCTTTCGGAAGTACAGTACATACTTCTTTTTTCGCTCTTGTACTTCGTACTTCGAAGTACAGTCAAATGTGCTTCCTTGCAATATTTTGTACTTCAGGAGGAATATCTTGTAACCAGTTGATTTTGCGTCAAAAAGTGTGATAGGGATTCGAAAATTGCCGCTAACTGATTTCAGAATCTCCCTCCAGGTCCTGTACTTCTTCGATCTTCTGGACGATCATCACATGGCCTGGGCGATAAATTCGTTCACACTATTAAAGTCGCCGGAGACCGATGGCATCATTCCTTCGCAGCACCAAAGGGCTCTGAATGTGTTGTGCAATTGGTTAAATCCTATGCAATTGGTTCACAGAAATTTGGATTTCTACATTAGGTAACTAGGGTAATTCTCTAATCGTTCTCGAGTCGATGGCGAAGTTAGAGAACTACATTAGAATTCGATTCGAGAACGATTAGAAAGACAACGCAAATTCAAATAAATGTAAATAAGCAATATTCCAAATGAATGAATCATAATTTATTTTTATCATTTTCAATCATTATTTATTTTATTGCGAATACATTTGATACAAATTTTCCAAAAAAAATCGTTTTATTTAATAAAGAAAAAAAAGCAGTTTGCAATTCACATTCGAATCCCATTAGAGATCAACAATAGAATTCGATTAGAGAATTAATATTTTCTCGAGTCGAGAACTATGTCCCATTTTAGTTGAGATCGCTATGATTCTCGATAGTTTTTCGAGTCGTTCTCTAACGTTTGAGATTGTGGCTAATCCTCCAATCATTCTCTAATCGATAACTAACCTCAATGTTTGCTGGGTTGGATCCTATTTATGCGAACTGCGTGAGGACCGGGTACATCCCCAAGGTTTGGAGGGTAGTCAGTGTTGCGTTCATCCCGAAGGCTGGAAAAGGCGCACATGTATTAGGTATTTTAGGCCTATCAGTCTCTCTTCGCTTTTGCTGAAAACGCTAGAGAGACTGAGAGACCTGTACATAAGAAACGCGATCCCTCGTTACTGTCAAGAGCTCAATACGCTTATTGCAAGAAAAAGGCGGTCACTACCGCCCTCCACACATTGGTAAAGTGGTCAGAGGAACCCTTAACTCATAAATATTATGCAGTAGGGGCCTTCTTCGATGTCGAGGGGGCCTTCAACAATGTCACTCCAGAGGCAATAATCAAGTATGTCGCGACGGAGTAGGGGAGCGCCTGCACTCAGTGCAGAGTCATTAGGAGCACTCCACTCCCCTGCTCTGGATTGCGGTTGTAAACGACCTTCTAGAGAAACTAAAAAAAGTGGATTGACGGGTGATCGCCTAAGTAGATGATGTGGAACGATTTCTAGACACCCTTTTTGATCTGGCTCAAGGTTACCTGAACCAGGTAACTAGGTGGGCGATCAACGGTGGCTGTCGTGGAAGCCTAACATTGAGGAAAGGGTAAGGAAGGTGTCGATACCGGGTCCTTTTGTGACATAAAAAAGGAAAAGAAGGCATTTCTCTGCTGCAGCAAATTCTTTTATAGGGCACTTTAAAACACGCAAGGGCTAGTGATGGGGGTTCTGACAGGCCATTGTGCGATTGGTATTCATGCGGAGAGACTAGAAATGTCAACTGATCACTGTTTTACCCGCTGTCAAGAGAAAGATGAAGTGCAATCATCTCCACGCTTTCTTTTACTATATATTTAAATATTTAAAAGATGGCAATTTTCCAGGTGAAAATATTGCTTCACACAAAGTATTTTTAATGCAGCTGCAATAGATGTAGAATGAAACTCGCTGATCAGTTCGCAACACACCTGGAAACTGTTGAACAGCTTTCGCTAAAAACGAACGCAAAGATTATTTCACTTTTGTTAAATTTTCATTTAATTTTTCAACCCCCAAAACCGGTTTAGCGCTAAACTTCACCATTGGAAAACAACAGTCGAAATATTTTTACGAGTACATACATATATTAAAATTTTGTGCTACAAATAATTGAACTTTTCGTTGTAACCCTGGCTATCTGCGCAAAGGTATAGCCAGATGAAATTGTGCGAAAATTAATTAACTTATTACCAAAATAATCATTTTTATGCTTTTCGGCAAAATATGTCTTTTGTGTAATAAATAATATGCATTGGCATATGCGATATGCGTTTGCATATCCGATATGCATTTGCATAATTTTGTCTTCCCTAATGGTTACATCTCCGTGTATAAACAAATCAGATATTACATGTCCCCAAAGTTTTTACATATTAAATTTCATAAATTGTTTTTAATGATTTTTGATAAAATTTTAAAATCAAAACTTATCGAGGCAAATTCTGTGAGTCTAGGAAAAATTATTATTTTTTATTTGGCTTTGTTCAATTGAGGTCACAAACTTGTTCTATTCTATTGGTGATAAGAATCGCCAAAAAAATTGTGAATTAATTTTCATTTCAAACTTATTCATAACATAATAGTTCATGATTTTAGTTAAATTGTCGGGGCAGTAGCTTTTTATAGAATGAACTAATCCTTTATATATGCAGGGTGTCCTAGACCACTCGCTCAGCCCCTCTAAAATGGAGGGAAATGCTTTTTATTGAAAAACACCAAAATATGACATACCAAATCAGGTATCCTCTATTTTCTGATGGTATTACCGACTTCCGGTTTCGATTTTTTAAAATAAATTTTAATAAAAGGTCTGAAATTTTAAGAAAAAGCGATTGCTTAGGGTAATTTCGTTTCTATAAAAAATGTTGCCTTCTCATTGCCATCTTCTTAGTATTTGTACGTACAGGGCAATGAGAAGGTAACATTTTTCGGTAGAAATCAAAAAACTATTAGTTTTCATTCATACGGTACAGTATTTCTATCCCACATAAAATTTAATTTTTTGTTATCATACAAATTGTGGCCACGTCCTTAATGTAAACTAAATAAAATTCTACGTACAATAAAAATTGTGCGCACTCGGTTCAAGAAGAATGCATAAAATTCAAATAAATTTGATGTACATATTCCAAATGTAAGTTAACTAAAAGGATGTGGCAGGAATTTCATAATTACACTGCATACATTACTACATATGAACTTACTTGGCAGTTGTTGTTGTTGTCACTTGAGTTCAGCACTTCCTTGCTTCTTCTATGCATGTACTATAATGTAAAGTTTTCGGTGCTTCAATTTCATCTCAGGCGAGTCTACTGCTTGGGTAATTTGTTGCATGCGAACCTACTACTAAAGTTCCTTGGTGATATGCAACATGCAATACATATGTTTGTATTTATGAATGTATTTTGGGTGTATGTATGTACATACGTTGCATTCAAAGCGTATGCTTGTTTTGTTGAAGTATTATATGCATGCGTATTGGTACTAAAACCCACATATGGGTGTACATAAATATGTATACATACTGAACATTCCTACATATGTATGTATGTATATACATGCAGGCACAATAATATATAGTTTCATTAGACATTTTCTTCTGCTTCTTACTTCTACAAACCTTTGCAGGCTGTGATTGTTATGTGAGCTTTACTACTTGGCTGTTGGCTGGCTGGCTGCTACTTGCAAACATGGATGCATTATGGTTGCATGCTCGGGTGGACGGCAGAAAGTCCTTTTCGCCGCTGCCCCTGCATACCGCAGTAGTGTTTGCGCGTTATTGAGTTATGGATGTGCGGCATGTATGTATATGTGAATGTGAGGGTGAAAAGCGGCAGCGAACGAGGCCAAACAAGGCAAAATAGAAACAAATCAT